TATGTCTCATTTTTATGCCTTAATGATGAGTATCTTCCCTCACTCCCCGCCACACCCCCTCATCAACAGGGTGAGGAGAGATGTGTCACTAAATCCTGGTATTATCGATGCTACATAAGACTCATCCTGACCCCAGCTACAAGAATCATCCTGACCCCAGCTACAAGACTCATCCTGACCCCTACTACAAGACTCATCCTGACCCCAGCTACAAGACTCATCCTGACCCCAGCTACAAGAATCATCCTGACCCCAGCTAAGACCCATCCTGACCCCAGCTACAAGACTCACCCTGACCCCAGCTAAAGATCATCATGACCCCAGCTACAAGAATCATCCTGACCCCAGAATCATCCTGACCCCTACTACAAGAATCATCCTGACCCCTACTACAAGACTCATCCTGACCCCTACTACAAGACTCATCCTGACCCCAGCTACAAGACTCATCCTGACCCCAGCTACAAGAATCATCCTGACCCCGGTTACAAAAATCATCCTGACCCCGGTTTTACTACCAAGACAACAACGATAAAAATTAACCACTTAACGCTACACAAGGAGGCTGGCGACAGTGGAGGGTTAGATCACCATAAATAAATATACTTGTATTATGGCGTTTGGAGTTATACAGATTATGTTTTGTCTAATACTGTATGATGTTTAGTCTATGTTTAGTCTATATTTACTCTTATGGTATAGTGTTTTGAACGATACGATTATTTCTGTTCCGTATTGATGACTCTGTACTAACCTAACCTAACCTAACCTTTTTTTCGAGGCCCCGTTACCGAGAGATCACAAAGTTAGGGGTGAAGTGTTTGATATCTCTTACTAACACGAGGGGGCTGGTATGAGGGGGGTGGTATGAGGGGGTGGTATGGAAGGGGTGGTAAGGAGGTATGAGGGGTAGGTGTATGGGGGGACTGGTATGAGGCTGGCATCAGGGGAGACTTACATACGGACATTAGCACGAGGAAAAAGGGAGGGAGGGAGAGGGATGACATTATATTCTGAGTTGTCCCCTCCCTTCCTCTTCTCTCCTCCCCTCTCTTCCCCTTCTCTCCTCCGCCTCCCTTTCCCTCCCTTCCACTTCGCCCCTTCCCCCTGTCCCTTTCCCCTCTCTTCCTCTTCTCTCCTGCCCTCCCCTTCCTACAGAGTGTCTCGCAACCGTCGCCTAAGGGCTGACCATTATGACAGTAATCACCACCACCATTAGCTTTACCAGTGACCTGCAATTGCCACTCTAGGCCACACCAACCCCCCCCACCTCTCTGCTCTTTCTTTCTTTCGTATTTTTTGTCTTTCTATCTATCTATCATATCTATATCTACCTGTCTACTGTCTGTCTGTCTTCTTTTCACCCTCTAGTGTGTCAGCTCTGGTGTCAGTGTGCAAGACGGAGAGCATATTGATGAAAATGTCACCCTCCCCAGACGAGCCATTTCCAACACACCGTCATACACTACTAAAGGCTGAGCTAATGTGTCGGTGTGTTTACAACGTTTCTGAAAATACATTTGTAAGTTTATTGATGTTTTATGTAATATATATATATATATATATATATATATATATCTACTGTTATGTTATTACGGTAGTCTGACATTATTCTAAGTCTGTGTTTTTGTCACGTTTTGATTGTTTTTTTTTTAGGTAAATTTAAATATAACACCAAAGTCATCGGGAAGAAGAAGAAGAAGAAGAAGATTGCAGCACACAAAAAGTAAAAAATAATAATAACAAAACACCATTATTCGCGCCAGGGCATAATCAAAACACACACACACACACACACACACACACACACACACACACACACACACACACCTAAGTATAGCATCTACACGTTAATATTACAACAGCCAATACAAGACTCCATCAGCTGGCCGCTCCCCCACACCATGTTACTAGCTAGTGAGGGTGGGTGGGTGGGTGGTCAGGAGAGTGGGTGGGTGGGTAAGTGAGAGGGTGGTTTAGTCAGGTGAGGATAGGTTAATTAACACCTTAGACTAAAACACCTGCAAAAGAAGACTAAAACACCTGAAGCAGATCTACCTGTACACCACACCTGAGTCCTTTCCCACCTGTATTATATTTAGAAACAATTCAATATCCCCGACCAACAAGAACACGGTATTATTGTCAATATTTATCGAGGCAATAACCATTTCTGTTAGTCTCTATGCACTTAGAAATGGATGTATATTATATAAACACTCTATGATCACGCTTACAGCTGCAGTTTATATTCTTTCATGCGATGTGTATACCGATATATATATATATATAATGTACAATATGACGATGATGATGTGATGGTATTTAGGAATGCATATTTTAACTCCGTTTTACTGGATTATTATTATTATTATTATTATTATTATTATTATTATTATTATTATTATTAATGTTATTATCTTGAAGGAGCTGACGAATTTTCTTGATATTTCACTGGCACCCTGAACATCCTTCCCCCTCCACCTCTCTCCCCCTCCCCCTGTCACCTTAACGTCTCGTGTAACGGTTCAATAACAGGGATGATCCGATTAAGACAGGCGACGTGGCTGGCGTTTTTAATGCACCTGGAGAGTTATAGCAGGTGAAGAGCCGTGTGCCAACTGGACTGATGCGGATATTCGAGTACCTGTGACAACCTCAGGTAAAATGAGGGTAGTTGGGGGTCATTCCTAGCTCTTATGTACCGCAGGTTTGGCGTATTAATCAGTGTGTTGTATAGCTGGTGATTCAAACCGATGGTACGTTCACTATAGGTAACATAAGGTGTTTTAATGACCACACACGTGTAACTTTTTCCGTATTTACACCTCAATATTAACTTACGAACCTTTGAGAATCCGTCTTCACCGTATTAAAATATTAGCATAATAGTTTTCCCACTACAGTCTCGGTGTAATTTCGTCAACATGTTCGCTGCCATCTTTGTATCACAGTTTCAAGAGGACCAGGTAGTTGTGACGTCATATCTACAATTACCAAATAGACAAATTCACATCATAACCTCCAAAAACATGTATTATAGTCTTGATGGAATTTTGACGCCATGTTTAGCTATCATATGTGCCCCCTTCCCCTCCTCCACCGTGAACTACCATACCATAACAGTCCACGGTTCACTCTTGAGGTATATGAGCTGTGCAGTCAGACGTGTTCTCTCACCTTCGGTAAAAGGTCAAATGATACCGTGCGAACTTTTCAGACTCAAGACTCGGGACGTCAGTAGGAAAGGTTTGGTCCAAGACGAGCTTTGTTGATAAAAGATTTAGTCGGGGTGTTGGGGGGTGGGGTGTGAGTGGGAGAGACTGGTGGGCGATATTTAACCCAGCGGTTCCTCTTCACACACACACAGAGCCAATGGTCAAGGTCACTCCTCATCACAACAAGGTTCTTTCTAACAATTTTAGGAATCAGTAAAGGTTGTTGTTTTACTTTATTGTTTATGGGGTGAAGTTAATGTAGTAGTAGTAATGTCGTTATTGTTACTATGAATGTATTACCATTACTATCCGGGTCATGAGTGTACGTCAGTGATCAGAGAAAGAGAGAGAGTAAACATCATCTCATAACACACACACACACCATGCAGTGAGGTTGTGTTCACTGGCACTCCTGTAGCCCCCACGGGTCTTCATGTAGAATTATAGATCCTCTTATACCTCCCTACCTCCTCTCTCACTTCCCTCCCCCCGGGTTACCCCACCAAGACCCCAGTGTCACCTACGACTGATACAAAAGTGGAAATTTCAATTGGACAAGGAATGGAAACAGTACAGGAGAGTGACTAGTGATACAGTACACACGAGCTTCACAGTCCATACTTACTGTACTTGTGAGACCTCCTGCCAACCAGCGAGGAACTGAGACAGCACGATGGCGACAGGAGAGGAGTCAGTGTGCATTGGGTACAGCTGAGGGTCACGACCTTCACAACACAACCCTAGTGAGATCCTACAACATTTTGTCACTTTATGTAACTTGCTGATAAAAGCCATGGCCCTTCAGGCTTTTACCCCCTTAATGCATGAGTCATGAAGGCAAGCTATAAACGCTTTTGCGCTTCACCTTGCACAGGATGACAAGGGGGTGCCCAATAAACTAGCCCCCTCGGGGGCAAAATATAATGTAAGTCCTGCCAAGACCGACTGTGAAACGAGACATTGTATTCCTTGATGGCAGTGTTCCAGTGTTACTAAAATCCATTAAGAGACACTCAGTACACTCACACTCCAAGATATCTCTAATCATCCTCACGCTGCACCGACCACGCTAACGCCACCAGCTATCTGAGAATCGACCCTCCTCCAAATGCAGCTTCACGACACCACGAGACATACAGTGTATTTTCAGCCTTTGTTAATTGTTCTCAATAAACCACTACTTCTTGTTCTTCTTGTTCTTGTCTTCTTGTTCTTGTCTTCTTGTTCTTCTTGTTTTTGTTCTTGTTGTTCTTCTTATTATTATTATTTTCGTGTGGCTCATTATTATTGTCTCGTTTTCTGTGCTTAACAGTCTTGTCTTTTGTGTGCTACAACGTAATTCTTCGTGACACACAAAGAAATATTGTACGAGTTTGCAAGTTACTGTTGGCATTCCTTTGCCATTTTTTTCCTAAAATTGCTGTAACTTTTTTTTTAATAATTCCTCTCATATATCATGAGCTTCACCTTCCCCTTTTACACCCTCCCTCCGCCTCTTCCCTCCACCCCCTTCCCATCACCCTCCCTCCACCCCTTCCCATCACCCTCCCTCCACCCCTTCCCATCACCCTCCTTCCACCCCTTTCCCATCACCCTCCTTCCACCCCCTTCCCATCACCCTCCTCCACCCTTCCCATCACTCCCTCCCTCCACCCCTTCCCATCACCCTCCCTCCACCCCTTCCCACCACCCTCCCTCCACCCCTTCCCACCACCACGATACTCACTCAATTACCCATTACAATCACTGACTCAATCACTCATCTGCCCTCTTCCTCCACAGGTATTGGTGATAGTGGTGGCGCAGGTGACGGAGGGGCAGCAGAAGCAGGAATACCTTGAGACAGCCAATTATCCCGAGGGCTACTATGCCTTTGAGGAAGCTCCCAGTAAGACGCCTCCCAAGGTCCGAAAACCTCCGTATCTTCAGTCCAAAGTCCCATGTCCAGGTGAGTCCCCCCCCCCCTCTCTTTTCTTTTACTCATAGTGTGGTGACTGATGGTGACTTAAGGTTAATGAGTCAGGGTTAATTTTCTAGGTGAGTGAAGGTGACTTAGGGTTAAATCCATAGGTGATTGATGGTGACCTAAGAGTGACTCACGATGTACTTCCTCGGTGACTAAAGGTGACTAAACATTATTAAATCAAGAACAAAAACACTTACCTTAGAAACAACATCAAATTTCAAGTCTAACATTCATTATTTATTTTCACGCTAAGACAAAAAATTAATAAACAAATACAAACTCCTACAAGTGACGTTATTGAGATTATACCGAAGAAATGATTGCCTATATAAATACCTCGATATAGTGACGTATTTAATTCATCTATAATTCCAGTCAATAATCGTTATAGAAAATTATAGGAGATAATAATTTAAAAAAATGACTGAATTAGAAACAAACATCTAAGTAATGGTATTAAATCAGAGTAATTAAGTAAATAGTTATGTTAAGACGTGTGACGTAAGTTTTATCCCTGGCAACTGTCAGTGTATGTGTGTGTGTTAAGTTACTGTCGACTCCCAGTTTGGACGTCTGCCACAACACACACACACACCCTACACACCCCCACACCCCCCCCCCCCCTACGCACACCAGACTTGGCAAGCGATGATATGCACCATTTACACACAGTTGTACACTAAATATACAACCTGCCCCCAAGTTGTAAAGCATCAACAACACACCAATAAGAGAAATAAGACTTAATTAAGAGTAACAAGGGAATGATTCACGGCTGTTTGCTAAGGTGAGTCAAGGTGATTAAGTCTGGTTTTAAACTTACCTGTCTCCAGGCGACTCGTGGTGGTCAGGTGATCATTTGTACGTCCGTGTGTTTGTTGAGACTACCTGTGGAGGATAAAGGAATATATATTATTAGTTATATTATTTATTACAAGAATGTGGGTCTAAGGGATTATAATGAAGAGGAAGAATGTTCATGATATTAAAAATTACATGTAGTTTTAGTATATGATGATGATGATGACTATAATGATGATGATGACTATAATGATGATAATGATGAAACTATAATGATAATTATGACTATAATGATGATGAAACTATACCCCAAAAAACAATAAAAAAAATCACGGGAGAAGCAAAACATCGTCAACACAGCCACCCTTAGCAGACCACGATCATGTGACTGTCTCTCCCCTGTGTACAGCCTCACCTCCCTCACCACAATCCGAAAATAAACAAAACAACAGTGGGACAGAAAACCATTGCTACGGGCGATATTCACCTTTACATATCAACTGAATTACGACGGTTTTCAATATTCACCAAAAAAAAATGAGGATCGAGTTACATCATCAATTTGGCGGCGGCCCATATCGACAACATCTCACGAGGGAGAGGCACGACTATACTACCATCCATTCCTACCAAACTGCAGCCCTTCCTCACCATAAAAAAAAAACAACCAATGAGTTAAAGAAGTCGTCGGTACATGCGAAAATTATGGCGCAATTCAATGTTCACCCCAAAACAAACGACGATCGAGTTAAGTCATCAATATGGCGGCGGGCCAGTATCGACAGAAACTCAGAAAGATGAATGTAGCATCAACATTTACTGACGCTCGCTTAGTCACCGATACGTACCAGGAGAGAGAAGAGGGGGGAAGGGGGATGGGGTAAAGGGGAGAGAGGGGGGGGGGAGAGGATCAACTAACGGTAAACACTCGTATAATAGGGCGTTCATGCTGGGTGAGCCAATGTGATGGTCACTGTGTACACTGTCACCGCCAAGGTCACTGTTATTGTTTTGTCTTAGTTGGCGAGGGAGATAGGGACAAATTTTCATGTGAAATAAGCTGGGGGAGAGAGAGGGAACAAATCTTCAGGTGAAATAAGCTGGGGGAGAGAGAGGGAACAAATCTTCAGGTGAAATAAGCTGGGGGAGAGAGGTTGGGGGGGGGGGGTATAAATCATCAGGTGAACTATCATAAATGTATTGTTCAGTGGTACAACTTCCCTACATACAGGTACTCTGGAGACGAAGGCACAGATGGAACAATCCCTGGACAACTTATGTGGGGACCTGAACGACGGCCTCCTACCCCTCAACCCCATGGGACAAGACATCCTCGGCCACTCCTACCCCTTGTGAGTCGCCCCTATGGTTATTATGTTAAGTTAACCTAACCTAACTTAACCTAACCTAAAACACAGTAACCGACGTCATTAACCTAAATCGTCACTCTTTAACCTAAAATTTTTAAGGTTGAATAAACTTAAGGGATTTGTGTCTTTATTAAATTCAATGTTAAACTTGAATACTTTAAAAAATTATTAAGGTTAAATATTAAACCTAAAATGAATGATGTAAAAAAAAATTCTCCTTTAACATTTATATATTTATGGTCTATAATTAAATTCGCGATATTTTTTGTCATGGCCCAACTTATTAAGAACTTCACATTCTACAATGCATAATCATTAAAACTCAGAAACATCAATTAAAAGTTTTTCTTCTCGCGGCCGCTGAGTTTATAAACAATTTTCTTTTTTTTTTCGTATTTTCTTTGCCTTTTTTTCCCTTTTCCTTTTCCTCTTTTTCTTTCCCCTTTCCCCCCTTTGCTTTCCCTTTTTTCCTTTTCTTTCCCTTTTCCTTCCCTTTTTCCCGCGTTTTTACCATCATGATGTATATAATAATCCCTCACGGCTGGTCCCTCCCACAGTGACCTGATCAAGAACAAGACGCTGGACTTCTTCAGTAAGACTCTACCTATCCTGAAGGAGGACAAGACTCTCCCTAAAGTCGCCAAGTTGAGGAGTAGGAATGTCCCCCTCAGGTATATACACCATCAGGAGATCCTAAACTCATAGTACAAGTTCACATTGATTCATCTTATATATACACGATGGAGATATAAAAACAATGGGTTATTTTAGCATGAACAAACCAATAAGGACGTATAATTTAGCGTGGCTCAGTGGCTCCTTCAGTGACACAGTTGCATCAGAAAATTCCTCGCGTCAATCAGGTGTTACGATAATTTTGTAAAAAGTAGAAAAAAGTATTTACCCAATTTTTAAAAATCACCAAAAAAAAAATCAATACGGTAATGAAATAAATTGTCATGTATATTAAAAGTATTAAAACCTGATTAGGGAATTTTGGTTCATCTTGTTGTGGGTTGATGAAATGGTAAACAAAGAGATCTCAGCAGGTAGTATCCTTGTCTCTCACTATTTCTCGCTAATAAACTATATCATGTGAGAGTATTTACCGAGACATTTTATGATTAGTGACGAGTTTAACTTGGAATTATATAGAAGGGGAAGCGTATTAGTGGTGTGTGGAGGAGGAGCTGTCTCACTGTCTGGGAACCTAAGCCACTACATACACATTAAATTCCAGGGATCAATTCCGGGTTATCCGCCGTCCTATCCGTTCAGCAGAAGACGAGACCCCCGCCTCTCAGAAACCAGACACCGAGAAGGAGATGACGCAGAAGGTAAAGGACCTACTGGAGGGGAAGCTGGAGGGACGGTCGCTGGGGTTTGACGACGACTTCCAGGGGAGGGGCGCCCGAGCCTTCTGTGCCGACAACTGGGGCCTGTGAGTCACTTTAGGTCTTGAGTTTGTTTATGTACTATCTTCTTGTCTCTATAACTTACACGTCTACAGACAATTAACCTGTTCTTCTTGGCGAGTAATGACCCGATGGTTTAATTGTAAATCACCATATTTAGAGAATGAATATCAAGTACCACAAACCATTTAACACGTGTATAATGTATCTAGGAAGAATGGTACCTAAAAAAAGCACATAGCCTTTAGGTTAGGTTGGGTTAGATTGGATCAGGTATGTAAACTCCATCATATACTCCTAAACTCCCTCAGGTTTTGTCTCCTGTTCAACGCTATGTCGGGCAAGAGCTCCAGCGGCACCATGGCTCAGGACCGCAACGATGACGACTTCGAGGGTAGTCTGAACAGCCTGGTGGGTGGGGGGATGCAGCCCCTCACCCCCTGCCCCTCCGCCGTCGAGTACATCACGCCCGTCTTCGCCAGGAACTACCAGGGCGTGTGGCGCTATGTGGTTCAGATACCTTACGAGGGCTACTTCACCCAGACCGTCGAAGTCACCCAGTGTCTGTGAGTATTGTGTCACCCGATGTATGTCACCCGGTGTATGTGAACCAGTGTATGTGACGTGTGACCCAGTGTATGTGACGTGTGACTTATTATTTACAGTGACATAGTGTAGCGACAGAGTGTAGTGACAAGTATAGTATGTAGTGTAGTGACAGAGTACAGTGTGTAGAGTAGTGACGTAAGTGTAGTGTGTAGTATAATGACATAGTGTAATGTGTAGTATAGTGACATAAGTGTAGTAGTATAGTGTAGTGATATACGTATAGTGTATTAACCTCTCCTCCCTTACCCATTACACAGGTCTAGTAAGTGTCACTACCTGTCGGGGGCGTGTCTGGCGTCACCACGGTGGGTGTCACTCCTGGTGGCGGAGGTCTACTACCCTGACGCCCTCTTCCCCGGCACACCTGCACGGCCCGACCTCAGGTAACTCCCCCCACCCACCCCCACTACCTGTCTCTCGGCCGTAGCAACTTGACAGATGATGTTTTATTTATTTTATTAAGTGTTGTAGTTTGTAATAATAATAATAATAATAATAATAATAATAATAATAATTACTATTGACATCAGCATTTCCGTTACCACACAACCACACCACACCACGCCACGCTACCCACCACACCACAACAACCACCACCCTCACCACACCGCTACCATAAGTGTTCCCTCATCCCTCCGTCAGCCGGGCAGCAGTAGCGTCTAACAACCCACCCAGCTCCAGGTACCAGCAGCGTCAGGGGAACAGTCCGGCCCTGAGAGAGGAGCCGCCCGCCCCCCACTACTGCGACGGCCAGGACGAGATTGGCTGTTATCAGGTGGGTCACTACCCCTTATCTCCCCAGGTAGGTACCCCTTATCTTCCTAGGTAGGTACCCCTTTTCCCCTAGGTAAGTCACTAACCCTTACATTTACCCTTTTTCTCCCTAGGTAGGTAACCCTTTTATCCCCAAGTAATTCACTAACCCTTGTATTTACCCCTTTCCCCCCTAGTTACCCATTTACCCTTGTGTTACAGAGAACAAGTTATCAGTCCACGTCTACCTGTTCTGTTCCTGGGTTATGTAGAACAGATTTAGCCATCCAGATTTAACCCACCTGTTCATCCTGGGCTATAAAGAACAGATTTTACCATCCATACGTCAAGAAAATGCTATTATGACCATAAAGTCGAAAGCATATAGTCATAAAACGTTATTACAAGCCATAATAATATCGTAGACGATTCAAAATAAACTTGGTTGTTAATAAGATAAGTTTACCCAACCGCCCCCCGGCGAGTGTGTGTGTGTGTGTGTGTGTGTGTGTGTGTGTGTGTGTGTTTTAGACGAGTAAAGAAGGTAACTAGTGTGATGTCGTGACTCTAACTAACAACTATGACACATGAATTATATACCGCAGTGCTGGTAGTTGCGAAGTGTTGTTGTTGTTGTTGTTTTTCATGCAATGTATTATTTGAGCGTTGTGGTGAGGAAAGTTTGGGTACAATTTGTGTCGCAATTATTGATGTGTGTGTGTGTGTGTGTGTGTGTGTGTGTCAGTATACATCTACACACAGTACACATATCACAACTAAAAACCTACAGAGTGTGTCAGAGACGATGCAATTTGTCCTCCTTTAACTCCCCCGCAATACGATAATACGTGCCCAGGTGCCTGCAGTCGTGCCTGTCACTTGAACCACTACCACTATCACCACTACCAGCATTACCACTACCACTACCTCCACCATTACCATTACCACCTTCTCCAACACCACTGACATTACCACCACTACCACTTCTATTACCCTTACCACTACCACCACCACCACCCCCCATCTCCCTCACCTCACCTGATGCATTTGTCTAAGTGGAGACTCGAGTCCTCCGCCCATTGTCGCTCTCCTAACGCCTGTGTGTGACTGAGTTAAAGGTCTATTGTTGGGTCCGTTTGCTGTGGCGTGTCAGCTGATGTTGTGTGTGTGGAAGAATATTTCCGGTGTGTGTGTGTGTGTGTGTGTGTGTGTGTGTGTGTGTGTGTGTCATGATAAAAGAATGTACACAGACACACACCCAGCACAAAAGCTTTCCAGCACGTCAGTGGCTCTGCCTAACTTGACCTTCTTAAAAGCCTAATGTGCGTGTCCAAGCGCCCGCACTTATGCCTGAAACAAGCACCACCAGAGTGCAAAAGTTGAGTCCACCGAACTCCTGAATACGATTGAGTCCATACGTGTGTGTTTGTTGTGGTATGTCAGCTGATCTATGAGTTGTTATGGTGCGTCAGCTGATTTTATACAGGTACTAACTCCCTCATTACCACTCACAGGTACGCCTCTACTATGACTGGTTCCTCATACCCGGCTCCTGTAAGTGCTGGAAACAAGACTACTTCGCACAGTTCGCCTACAGGAAATAATAACAATAACTCAAGTGATGGACTCAAGCCTTAAACAACTACTGGACACCAAACGTATTTTTTCCCTCACATGTCATAAATGATACGTAATCTCTAGAGTTGTTGGACACATTTGGTTCTCATAATTCATACATGACACATATGTTAGTAAGTGTTGGATTATAGAAGGTTTTCATACATCATACATGACACATTGACGAGTGCTGGACACATGGTAGTCATAATTCATACGGTTGTTAATGTAGTGTTGGGAGTACAAGAATGTTATATATCTTATGTAATATGTATAGCAATTAAGAAGTATTGGACACATATGATTCTCAATATCCACACATGACACATAAATCACAAGGTTTCATACATCATACATGACACATTAACAAGTACTAGACACATATGGTTTCTATAAATAACACATGGGTGGAAAACTATTCTAGTAAACGCTAAACGGACACATACAGTACGGCTCAATGCATCACACATGACACATTAAACTGGACACACATTAGTGACGTGTTATTCTTATTTGTCTCTCTCCTGAACACGGGTTGGGTTAGGTTAGGTTAAGTGAAAGAAGAAGAAGAGAGAGAGGTTGTAGATTATTCGATCCAATCAGTTCCGCGCGTGCAAGTGTGTGTGTGTGTGTGTGTGTGTGTGTGTGTGTGTGTGTGTGTGTGTGTGTGTGTGTGTGCGTAACGCATGAGGAAGGAACGAACGGGTTAATCCACGCTTACCAACCAACTCATCTTTATATTAATCAATAATTTCTGTCGTATGCCTCACTGGCCTCTGCTCACCTGGGGCTACAACACCTGCAGCTGAGGGAGGGAGGGAGGGGAGAGAGGAGGTCACCTGGGGAAGGGAGGGAGGGAGGAAGGGGAGAGAGGAGGTCACCTAGGGGAGGGAGGGAGGGTTGAGAGGAGGTCACCTGAGAGAGAGAGAGAGAGAGAGAGAGAGAGAGAGAGAGAGAGAGAGAGAGAGAGAGAGAGAGAGAACAAAATCCTCTCAGTACTAACAGGACCATACCTTAGCTGAATACTACAACGTACTCTAAGGCATATAAGATGGGTTGAGCCGAACTAGTGCACGGAATGCCTACCTCTGTTCTCCTCTTCTGCACAAATGGGAGGGGAGGAAGATTTGGGGGTTGGGGAGGAAGGACTTCACGCGGGGAGTAGGGGAAGAGAGGGGGGGTGGAGTGAGTCATCTTAGGAGGGAGTGGAGGGGGGAGGAGGAAGAGTAAAGGGAGGGGAGTAGAGGAAGAGGGAAGGAGGTAGAGAAGAGAAGGGAGGTGGGGAGGAGAAGAGGAAGGGAGATGGGGAGAGAGGAAGAGGAAGGGAGGTGGGGAGTAGAGGAAGAGGAAGAGAGGTGGGGAGAGAGGAAGAGGAAGGAGGTGGGGAGGTAGGAAGAGGAAGGAGGTGGGGAGGAGATAAAGAGGGGAAGGAGATGGGGAGTAGAGGAAGAGGAAGGAGGTGGGGAGAAGAGGAAGAGGAAGAGAGGGGAGAGAGGAAGAGGAAGGGGAGGTGGGGAGAGAGGAAGAGGAAGGGAGGTGGGAGTAGAGGGAAGATAGAAGGGAGGTGGGGAGTAGAGGAAGAGGAAGGAGGTGGGGAGAGGGAAGAGGGAGGAGGGGGGAGGAGGAAGAGGAAGGGGAGGTGGGGAGAAGAGGAAGGAGGTGGGGAGTAGAGGAAGAGGAAGGGAGGTGGGGAGTAGAGGAAGAGGAAGGGAGGTGGGGAGTAGAGGAAGAGGAAGGGAGGTGGGGAGGAAAGGAACAGCCATTACCTCCCCCTTCAGTTCTCTTCCTCTCCTCACCCTTCACATATCACCCTTCTTCCCTTCCTCACACCTCACCACCTTCGCAGCCACATGTGTTGTAAGCCAGACACACACACACACACACACACACACACACACACACACACACACACACACACACACACTGCCACATTGACACTGCTGGGGGGGGGTAGAGGGAGGGAGTAGATTTAACAACACTCAGTCACTTACGTAAAATATTAATTCTGTGGTTCTAAGGAAGTTGAAATCGAATCACCTGAATATTAGACACCCCAGCTAACTAGATACTATTGCTAACCTAACGTAACCTTACCTAACCAAATCTAATCCGACTTAGCCTAATCTAACTAAATATAATCTAACCTAACCTAACTTACCTCCCCCCCTCACACCCAGGTAACGCTATGGTATTTAATTATCAGGTGAAATAAGCTGGAGTGTCTAATCTCCAGGTGATCCTTTAACTCTACTGACAACGCACGCATGAAAAATAAAAAGCAAATCTAATCTAACCTAACCTAACCTAACCACTTCATCGTGTAAGTTCTTCATCAGTACTTACAAACATACTTAAGATTAAATAGACAAATTTATTCTATCTTATTTAATTCTCCGAAAAAAAAAAAATCCAGCCACATATTTTCGCCCAAGAAGAAATCCGTAATATTTTCCTCATTAACTTCAAATAAAAATAATCAATGAAATAAATCAAAGTAAATCCAAGTAGTGGGTAATATTTTGTTGACGTTATGATACTGTACTCCATTAATTACTGTAAGGTCTTTAAACACGTGATATACTGTAGCTTAATGAATACAATAAGAGAGATACAGTACAGGTGCGGTCACAATTCTCTGGACACTCGACAGATGCCATATAGTACCAAGTGTTCAGGGAATTTTGACTGTAACTGTACATGTAGTTCGTTATGTACCGAGAGTAATGCGGTGATTCAAGTGATGTTGTTTTTTACTACACAAATTGTAAGCTTGTGGACGTGACGCGTGAGGTGACGGGGTGAGGAAATTCTAACGTGGGTGTGTTGTCAGTTTAGAGACATTGATTACGTTCCTGCAGGTACAGACACACACACACACACACACACCTGCACACACACACATACACACACACACACACACACACACACACACACACACACACACACACACACACACACACACACACACACACACACACACACACACACACACTCTCTCTCTCTCACGCGAAATATCATTAAAGCACATTTGCGTTCAATAATAATAACAATATAAATATAAATAATAATAATAATAATAATAATAACACCACTACCAACAAAACCAACAACACCAACAACAAAAACTAACCAGGAATATATCAGGATCACAATTACAGATCAACACGAGAGAAGAATAATGCTCTCAGAACTATAATTCCCCAGTACAGTATTTGACCCGGATATAAATCACCACCACCACCATCACAACCACCACGCAAACCTCCTCCTCCTCCCACTCCACTACCCACCAGCTAAAACAGAACTCGGAAATAGTACTGTACTGTATTTTACCTCAGTGTGATTGAATAAGGTACCTCACACACACACACACACACACACCCCACACCACACCACACCACACACACACACACACACACACTCACTTGATCATCACGGAACTACTTATGAATCGCTTACAAGTTAATTATTATGTAAGAATAACAAACATTAACAAACGATCTTAAATAACAAAAAAAAATTATCGATATTTAATCACACAAACACTTAATAACAAAAAGAAAAATATAAGTACTGTACATACAGGTTAAAATAAGTGGCTCCTTTAATGTACCTTACACCCGCCACACCATAACACCCACACCATAACACCCACACCATAACCCTCCACACACCATAACACAATCACTATAACCCCCACACACACCATAACACCCACACTATAGCCCCCACACACCATAACACCCACACTATAACCCCCACACACCATAACACCCACACTATAACCCCCAAACACTATAACCCCCATACACCATAACCCTACACAATAACCCCACACACCATAACCCCACACCATAACCCCCCCATGCCATAGAGATCATAATGACCCTTAACTAGGCACAAGAAAGCAAGTATTGTCATTAGTGTCCAGGCAATTTTGTCCACAACTATACAAGAATCAATTTCATCGTGTACCGTGAAGCTGTGTGTACCGTGAAGCTGTGTGTACCGTGAAGCTGTGTACCGTGAAACTTTGTATACTGTGAAGCTGTGTACCGTGAAGCTTTGTGTACCATGAATGTGTACCGTTAAGCTCTGTGTACCGCTCCAGCATTCGACCTGTAAATATTGTAGAATAAGATCATTTGTATCGGCATTGTTGTTATGTTAATCTTTACCTGAATAAAAGTGAAAGATATTGTTAAATCGATTCTATATCATCCTTTTGTTTTGTTAACTGAATAAAAATCGGGAAGTTAATAAAATATAAAAATGAATGAAAAATAATGTCAATGAATTTACGCATGAGCTTTTTATTATTGTTATTATTATTATTGTTATTGTTATTATTATTATTATTATTATTGTTATTATGGTGGCTGGAGTGACTTATATTGTCAGGGGTGGATGAGGAAGTATTGGAAGAGAGTGAGTGAGTCAGACAGGAAGTGAGTCGGCTACTATTTGTAGATGATGATGATGATGATGATGATGATGATGATGAGAGAGAGAGAGAGCCACCTTACCCCCCCCCACTATTACACCCTCAGGCTGCACATATTAGCCAGAAACACCAAAACTTGAGAACTTAAATTGTCTCCCCGGAGTCATTTTTTATCCCCTCAAGTTCATCTTATCTAAGTTCTAAAGTTGGGCCGGGGGACGAAGATTGGATAACCCGGCTTCTTAACTTCCCAAATATGTCGTAAAACACGACACAAGACCAGACTTCCTCCCCTCGAACTTCCCCTTTAAAATACTATATATCAGTAGAAAGCCACACCACCCAGCCACACCCATCCATATCATCTACATCGTCTACCCTTCTACCCGATGTGGTTTTCCTCTGTGGTAGGAGTTTGAGCGACACACACACACACACACACACACACACACACACACACACACACACACACACACACACACACACACACACTGCCACCCCTCTAAACAAAATAAAACTTGAGAAATCGTAACTTTAGGTTAAAAAAATAAATAAAAAAATAAAATAAAATAAACTGGGGCTGTGAATAGAATCATGTGGACAAAAGTTTATTCTCAACGTGCATATTTAATCAGCATAAATATTCACCAAGAGTATAATGAACAATCTTCCTTCACAATGGCATTTTGGAAACTACTGTATAATATATATTTTTCTTTTTTTCCTCTTTCCTTCCTCTATTTTTTCTTTTCTTTCCTTTTTTTTTTACTTCGTTCTTCTATCTTTTTTTCTTATTTCTTACTTCTTTCCTTTACATACACAAGCGAATACAAGTCTATGTTTGGAAAGTTAATTAGACCTGAGGTGGATTAACCTGATATTAATTAGACAGGTGAGTTAGTATAGGTGATGAGGAGGTGGAGCAATTTGGAGGTCAAAGTTTGTTCTCTCTCTCTCTCTCTCTCTCCAGGCCCTTTCCCTCACCCCTTCTCCCCAATAAATATTCTCCCCACACTACACAAAGGCTTTCTCTTAACCTCACTAACACACACCCCTCTATCTCCTCCCTAGTGAGAGAGAGAGAGAGAGAGAGAGAGAGAGAGAGAGAGAGAGAGAGAGAGAGAGAGAGAGAGAGAGAGAGAGAGAGAGAGAGAGAGAGAGAGAGAGAGAGAGAGAGAGAGAGAGAGAGAGAGAGAGAGAGAGAGAGAGAGAGAGAGAGAGATCGACCAGAAACTCAACATCCTACATTAATAAACAGCCTTTGCTGACTTAAGGAGATTATTCTTAGTGAAGATTTATTGAAATTAACTGCTATAATATGATCTCTGGAGGAGGAGGAGGAGGAGTCACAGCACACAATCATC